CCCACTGGCCACTCCACAGAAGGAAGACTGGGTAATCTACTTCCATAAAGATTTACCTCCTCAGAAACCCAATGAGGGTCGCTATGAGTTGGAATCGATTCAGCGGCAGTGAGTTTGGTTTTTTAGTTTAGAGTCGCTGGGCAGTGCAGAAGCATGTGCAGCATCTCTGGGGACTGCTGCATGTGCTAGAATGATGCTCAGAATCGATGGGAGGTAGGAGAAAGCAGAGAATCTGGGACACCCTAAAGCAACCCGGCTGGCTATTCAAAGTTATTTTTAAATGGTCTTTTATATGGCAGGCTGTGTACCAAAGTAAAATAGCCTCATCTACCACAAGCTAGTAAAGCCCTTGAAGAGCAATGCAGTTTAGGGTAAGATGACAAGGTTTATGATTAAAGCCCATGACAGAGTGACCTGTATAGGAACACAGTATAGAGCAGTGCTCCTCATATTCCCATGCACATGGATCACCTGGGAATCTTTGCTCAAAGAAAGGGTCGACGTTTTGAGCAAAGATTCTGTAGAAGGAGCCTGATCAAAAGGGGATAAATGCAGAACAGAATTGCAAATTATCTTGGAATCCTGACATTCTGGAGACATTGAAGCTGGATGAACCCCCAAAGCTATTGCCCTGAGATCACCTTTAAACCTTAACCAAAAATATCCAGTGGGGTCTGCATAAAAACAAAAGTAGTGTTATGGATTGAATTATGTCCCCCAAAAATATGTGTTGTAAATCCTAAACTCTGGTAGTGTAGTGCCTAAGGTACTTGACTGCTCACCAGAAGGCTGGTGGTTCAAACCCCCTAGCCACTCCTCGGAAGGAAGATGGGGCAATCTACTTCCATAGTGATACTGCCTCGGAAACCCAAGGAAGGGTCACTATGAGTCGAGTGTTCAAGTGCTTGATGGCATATAACAACAACAACAACAACAACAAATCCTAAACTCTGTGCCTATGGTTCTAATCTCATTTGGGAATGGGCTGTCTTTGTTATGGTAATGCGGGAGGATTAGTATGGGGTGTATCTTGAGACTATAGCTTCTGAATGATAAAAGAGATTAAAGCGGTGAACAGAGGAGAGATGGGGTCAGATGGGTATGAAGACACAGGGAGATCTCCCAGGAACCAGGAAGCAGAAGCTGAGGACACAGGGATCCCCTCCAGAGCCACAGAGAGAGAAGCCTTCTCCTAGAACGAATGCTCTGAATTTGGACTTCTCTAGCTGTGAGAAAATAAATACCCACTTGTGGTATTTCAGTTAAAGCAGCTCTAGAGAACTAAGACAAATAGTTTAGCTTAGTTAGTGAAGAATGCTTACTTGGAGCATTGTGCTCTTTCAAGAGCTATCCGTATGGAATCAAATTGACCACAGCAAATTGAAAGATTAGATGGGACACACAGGAGGCAATGAGTTTATGTAAATGGAGGAGGAACAATTTGGAAGAGGCAGTAAGAGTGGTTGCACAACTTGTAAGCAATGTCATCAAACTGTACATGTAGAAATTACTGAATTGGTGTATGTTCTGCTGTGTATATTCTCAGTAACAAGAATAAATTATTAAAATAAAAAAACTAGGGGGTTCTCATTCAATGCGTCTAGGGTGAGGTCCAAGATTCTGCATTTCTAAAATGCTCCCCATAATGCTGGTGATGCTGGTTCTCAGTCCTCTTGGGTCAATACTGACACACGCAGTTTTTAGCTTTTTAAGCATATGTTTAATTTTTTAAGAAATAGCTGAAATGTTTTTCTAGAGTGGTGGCACTTTTATGCATTCCCACCTGCAGACTACACTTCAAGTTACAAGAGCCTTTTAAGTAGATAAGTTGCTCTTCCATCTTTCATAATAGATCATGGAGTTGTTCTGTAAAGCTCTTTGACAGAGTAACTAAGTTGTTGTTAATAGTCCTGTTCATAGTACAAGGGTATGGACATCCAATTCTGATTTCTACCTTCTGCTTTAATAAAGGAGGGGGAGGTAAGAGACAAGCATTGATTTAGGTGAAAGGAAAGGCAATATACCAAAAGCAGGTGACCAACACAGTCACCAAGGAAAAGGAAGACAAAGAGAGATGCATAAGGGGTATAGACAACAAAGATAAACAGTTTCACATACACATTCTTGTGTTATCAGTACTAACAAACATTAATCTGTGGGTGGATACATAGGTGTCGTTGTGTTGTTGTTAGGTGCCGTCGAGTCGTTTCCGACTCATAGCGACCCCATGCACAGCAGAACGAAACACTGCCCGATCCTGCGCCAGCCCCACAATCCCTGCTATACTTGAGCCCATCATCGCAGCCACCGTGTTAATCCATCTCGTTGAAGGCCTCCCCCTCTTTCGTCAACCCTCCACCCTACCAAGCATGACATCCTTCTCCAGGGAATGGTCCCTTCTGACAACATGACCAAAATAAGTGAGACGAAGTCTGGCCATTCTTGCTTCCAAGGAGCATTCTTGCTGCACTTCCTCCAGGACAGATCTGTTAGTTCTTTTAGCAGTCCACGGTACTTTCAGCATTCTCCGCCAGCACCACAACTCAAAAGCATCAACTCTTCTTCGGTCTTCCTTATTCATTGTCCAGCTCTCACATGCATACCAGGCGATTAGAAATATCATGGCTTGTGTCAGGCACACCACAGTCCTCAAGGAGACATCCTTGCTCCTCAGCACTTGAAACAGTTCCTTCGCGGTTGACTTTCCCAATGCTACACATCGTCTAATGTCCTGACTGCTGCTTCTATTGGCATTGATTGTAGAACCAAGCAATATGAATTCTTTGACAACCTCAATCTTCTCTCCATTTATTGTGATGCTGCTTATTGGTCCAGTTGTGAGGATTTTTGTTTTTTTATATTGAGACGTAGGATACATAGGTAGACAGGTTAAATGATCAGGTATGTCTGGGCAAAAGGGAACATACCTATGGCCATATGTAAGTTTGGCAGACGATAGTTCTTCATACTTATTTATTTGTGCTATAAGAATGTCCAGTACATTAGGCTGAATGAAATAAATTAATCACAGAATGACAAATATTGTATTAGTTCATTATTGCAGAAAGTCAAGGAAAGGTTTATCTGTGGAGGGAAACTTTCTTTGCTGGTTAGGAGGGGAGGGAATACTGCAAAAATAAAAATAAATAGAATCTTAAGAAAAAAAAAAAAGTCCGTATCTATAATACGGCTAACAGGGCAAAGTTATGGTAACTCTCACCCATAGCCAAACACCCTGAGGGAATGAGTCACTGGGCCCATGGCCTCAGGACCATGGTTGTGGAGGACATCAAGCTCAGTTGGCATAACATAATACACATAAGCATTGTTCTACATCCTACTTTGGTGAGTAGTGACTGTGGTCTTAAAAGCTTGCAAGTGGCCATATAAGATGCAACAATTGGTCTCATCTCATCTGGAGCAAAGAAGAATGAAGAAAACTCAGAGACACGTGGAAAGAATTAGTCCAAGGGACTAGTGGACCATGCGATCCTCAGCCTGTGTGACCATGAGACCAGAAGAACTAGATGGTGCCCAGCTCCCACTGTCAACCACTTGGAAAGGGATTACAATAGGAAATCCCGGATAGAGTGTGAGAAAAATAGAGATCAAAACTAAAAAAAAAAACAAGCTTATTAATCTGATACAAACTGGTGAAACCCACAAGACTCTGGCCCCTAGTCAGCCTTCAGGCCTGGGATTGAACTTACTCCTGTGGCTTCCAGCCAAGCAGTAGATAGATGTATAAGGTGAACATTTGCACCAGATAGGTACACTCCTTGGAACAATCATCCAGGGAGATCAGAAGGGCAGCATTTGCACAGAGGCAGGAATGCATAGGAAAGAAGGACACAGGGAAGAGGTAATCACAGGAAGGAAATGGGAAGAGAGCTGTTACATTATGGGGATTGTAATCAGTGTTATGAAACAAAATGTATATGAACTGTTGTATGGAAAATGAATTTGCTCTGTAAACTTTTACCCAAATCACAATAATAATAATAATAAATAAAAAGTAGAGGGTAGGGAGGGGTTCTTCACTGATGGCATAGTGGAAAAATCATTTGAAAAAACTCCAGATTATGTTATCTTTATTTTAGGGTTTAAAAAACCCATGCCTTTTATTTTACTAATGGTCTTGATTACTAGATGACGTTAAATTAAATCCAGTTTGCTGCCTGCATGTGTCAGAAGTAACAGTGGTGTTCAAAAGTTTTTAATAAATTCTGTAAGGCAGTTACTTTCCTATTTAAAACTTGAAAATAAGGGCTGTCTGTTTTGGTTTTAGATTTAGATTGTCTTTAATTCCACTCTATCCTGGGCTTGGGGGCAACTTCATGTAATGGATTAAAGCATAGACTCCGAAGCCAAACCTCCTGGGTTTAAATCCTAGCTTCTCCACTTACTGACTGTGCTGGTGGAGGAGTTACGTGTGTGTGCCATGATTTACTCATCTGTACAATGGATCTGCTTTTTATAAGTGTTATTAGGATGAAATGAATTAACATTTGTAAAGCTCTAAGAACACGCTTGTCACACAGGGAAGCTATTACACAAGTATTTGACTAAAATAAGTATGTGTTAATAGCATATTATAGTGGCTCAAAGGTCCTGTGGAATCCAGAAAGCCTGTTCTCTTGTTACTTACTAAATTATTGTCCTACTAAGATTTTCCCAGGGAAGCTCTGGTAGCCTAAGGTACTTGACTGCTAACCAGAAGGCTGGCGGTTCAAACCCACCAGCCACTCCTCAGAAGGAAGGTTGGGCAATGTACTTCCATAGTGATACCGCCTCAGAAACCCAAGGAGGGGTCACTGTGAGTCGGATCCGATTCGATGGCATATAACAACAACAACAACAGACTTTCCCAATAAGTAGCTGGGTCAGGGAGAAAGGATTCTTCACCCAACAATCAGGAGCTACAAAATAAATTTATGAAATCTATGAATTCATACATTTACTTGTTTGGTGAGACTTACCTCAGCTCTTTGGTTTTACAGTTGGTTATGTATGTTGGTCAGGTGGCCAAGGATATCTTGAAGTGGCCCCGCCCCTTCTCCCCTCCCGCCGTGATACTTGAAAAGAGAATTGTTGCTGAGTATGGAATGCCATCCACGCACGCCATGGCAGCCACCGCCATTTCCTTCACCTTCCTGATCTCCACCATGGATAGATATGAGGTGAGGCTCCTGATTTTTTTCTTCTCAGTCCAACATTATCCATATCGTGGTCCAGCAAACAGAGGCTTGCTGAAGAATTTTCTTTGAAAGGTGGTTTGAGGGATTTTTGGATATATGAAATCAAGACTAAGGGGAAGTGAAACCTATTGGACTGTCAGTTACAATTTCCTCTTAAATAAAGTGACTGTATAATTAAACACCCAAACTGGAACACTTGGATAGGGAATGTGGGCACTATTGATAATGACACTAGGACAGCAAGTATAATAAAACGGGACTGTCCCAGGTGAACCAAGGTTTGTCGTCTCCCCACTCAGAAAGTGTTGAGACAGTGCTTGGATCAGCTCTCTCATCTTCTCTGTGGGGGCAGACTTGAGAGTGTTATCATCTTAGTAAATGATCCTCCATGGCTACGATGATTCCACCAAACCCCTCACCAGACTCCCCAAGGCCTGTGGCAGGAAAGAGCCTGTGCCTTGAATTAGCCTTTGAGGAGGCCTCTACTTTTGGTGAGGGCTCAGCCATTAGAGATGAGGGTGCCAAGCTTTTTTAGAAAAACATCAAATTGAAACACTGTATTTGTCAGGAGATTAATGAATGTTGAAAATAAAGGATTTCACTTACTTTAATCTCTGCTTAGATGCCAATGGACTCCCTGGGGCAGTGCAAAGTTAGTGCACTTGGTGGCTGTTCAAAAGGTTGTTGATTCAAATCCACCCAGAGATCCATCAAAAGAGACTGGGCACTCTACTTCTGAAAAACTGTTGTTGTTGTTGTTGGTATGTGCCATCGAGTCAGACCTGACTCATAGCAACGCCTCCTTGGGTTTCCGAGGTGGTGTCACTACAGAAGTAGATTACCCGACCTTTCTCCTGAGGAGTGGCTGGCGGGTTTGAACCACCAGCCTTCTGGTTAGCAGTCAGATGCCTTAGGCACATGCTACCCACTGAAGATCCTGAAGAGCACAGTTCTGCTCTGACACACACGGGGTTGTCTTGAGTTGATTTGACAGCAACTAGTTTAGTTTTGTTTTGGTTTTTAGATGCCCATTATAGTAAGAGCTTTTAAAGTCTGTATTATTACTGCAGCAAAGGTTTGGTTTTTTTTCCTGTTTTGGAACTGTTGCTCTAATTTTGAGATTCATTTCATAAATGTTATCTTTTACCCACTGGAAATTTTAGATTGCATTAGATCTAGCAGTCTTGTGAGGGATATGGCAGTATTGTTTCATCCTGCCCTTCTACCCCAGAAATCTAGAAACATTGTATATTTCAGGTTCCATAGAAATTGGGGAGAAGTCTTAGTAGCACAATGGTGAAGTGTTTGGCTGCTAACCAAAAGGTTGGTTGTTCAAACCCACCCAGCGGCTCCATGAGAGAAAGACCTGGCAATATGTTCCTGGAGAGAATGCGGTCTAGAAAACCCTAGGGGACAATTTTGCTCTGTCACATGAGGTCACTGTAGGTTGAAAATCAACTCAGTAGGCTGTAACAAAAGAAACAGGAGTTAGCCCAATGTGGCTGGAAGAAAGAGTACAGGACTGGTTTGGAGTCTTAGCTTCACCTCTGCAGTCTTCTACCTGTCACCTGGTTAGACCTCCATTTCCTAAATAGGAAAGGAACAGGTATAAGGCACAACTTACTGGTCTGTCCCTGTCCAGAGCAAAGAAGAGTGAAGAAAATTAAAGACACATGGAAACAGTCCCAGGGACTAGTGGACCATGTGACCATAGCCTCCGTGACCCTAAGACCAGAAGAACTAGATGGTACCCAGTTACCACTGCCAACTGCTCTGAAAGAGATCACAGTAGGAGATCCCAGATGGAGTGGGAAAAAAATGTGGAACAAAACTCAATAAAAAAAGACCAGGCTTACTGATTTAACAGGGACTGGTGGAACCTCCAAGACCATGGCCCTTAGACACCGCTCAAGCCTGGAGCTGAACTCACCCCTGTAGCTGAACTTTCATCCAAACAGTAGAAGGGGCTGTAAGTAACACCAGGGATGTAGGAACCCCTTAGAACAACCAACCACACAATACAAAAGATCAGCGTTTGCACAGGAACAACGCTCAGAGGCAGGAAGGGACAGGGAAGAAGGACAAATGGCAATGGTGAAACATGGGGAGGAGCTGGAGGAGTGTTGTTACATTTTGGGGATTGCAGTCAATGGCACAAATCAAAGTGTGTGTAAATTGTTGAAGGGAAAACCAATTTGTTCTGTAAACATTCACCTAAATCACAATAGAAAATTTTTAAAGAAAAAAAAAAAAGCATATATCCAATTAGTTATAATCCTTTGTTGTATCTTACTTAAATGTAATGCCAGAATCAAAAAATGCCTGTACTCCCCAGTACTGTCTGGCTTCATTTAGTGTCGACTTCTGAGCTTTGTCGCACCAGTGAGTCAGCAGCCCCTAAAGGACCTGGGAACCCAGGACCAGCCCACCAGACTCGCTTGTAGGCTCCAGAGAGGCATGTGGGCATGCTGTGGGACATGAGAAACAGCAAAAAGAGGCACACACACATTTGTAGACACATCTTAACAACCACCAGGGCCTTCAAAAAAAAAAAAAAAATTCAGCTACTTGATGTAGCAGCTTTTATACAGCCCAAGTTTTGTTCTGAACTTCTTCCCTATTTAATTTTTAATGATAAATATATTTAGCTATTGAGTTTATTGGCTTCTAAACAGCTCTTGATATGGGCTTATTTATTTAAACTTATTTTGAGAGTAATACCCGAACTCTAATCTGAATACATTAACTCATTGATTTTTCAACAACTTTGCAATGAAAATTGGAGACGTGATTCATGGCAAATCATGAGAAAAGTCATACAACCAGGTGTTGTTTTATTTGTATGTTACATTGGAAAGAGCACATTGGACTTGGACTCAGAAGGTACACCTTCTGGTTCTGAGTCTGTCACTAATCACTGTGTGACCTTAGGTAAGTCATTTTACCTCTCTGAACCTCCTATTTTAAGATCAAATGGAATGATTGATGGGGAAGCATTTTTGTGAACCATAAAGTTCAATGTTAATATGACTTCTTATTGTGATTAAGAGTTTCCTCATTTGAAAAATGGAGTGAAGAGAACCTACCTCATAGAGTAGTGTAAAGATTAATGAGATGATGGATATAAAGAGCTTTGTCTTTAATATGGATAGAGCTCTGTCATCTTTATTCTTCTATCTATGGAAGAAGGCAGTTGAAGCATGTGGCTTATATCCCTAGATCAAAATATCTTAGGGTTTAATATTAGCTGGATTCCTCCATCTGCTGCTGTTAACAACCACCAGTACTTTAGATTTAGTCGTGTCTGAACTTTTGCCTTGACGTTTGTAAATACGTTTGTATATGCCCGTTCTTCATTTGAGCCCATTGTTTCTGGGCCTTGGCAGGAAGCTAATTGTTGCCAAGCTTTCTCACCCCAATATGTGACCTTAAGAATATAGCATTGCCCTTCTACCTTTCCTGTGCTTGTAAGAACTGGTCCATGAAAAAGGAAGACCTGAGAAGAATTGATGCCTTTGAGTTATGATGTTGGTGAAGAATATAACATGGTCTGCTGGAAAAATAAACAAGTCTTTCTTGGAAGAAGTACAGCCAGAATGTTGCTTAGAAGCGAGGATGGCAAGACTCTGTCTCACATCCTTTGGGTGTGTTATCAGGGAGAACCAGTCTCTGGAGAAGGACGTAATGCTTGGCAAAGAAGACAGACAACGAAAAAGAGGAAGACCAAGTGGAGATACAGTGGCTGCAGCAATGGGCTCCAACAATGGTTATGAGAATGGCACAGGACCGGGCAACGTTCTGTTCTGTTGTACAGAGGGTCACCGTAAGGGAGAACTAACTTGACGGCACCTAACGACAACAACAACCATCTGAAAAGTAGTAGAAGTAAAAATGGTTTCATCCACTAAAACCGCCAGCACAACAGTTGAGGTCATGAGTCTTAAAGCCAAGCTCTACTAGGTCTTATTTGCATGTTTACATATTGTAAACCATCTCCCTCACCTCACCTCTTAACTGTATTCCTAGACATTTTTCCCTTTCCTTTTATTTAGTTTCCCCATTTTCAAAATGATGTTAGATTATCAGATTGCTGGCCCAGGAAATATGAGATTGAGACCAGCAATGACTGGATGTGAATTCTGTTCCAGTCGGTAGCATTAAATTATATATGTCCAAGCGAGATCTGATATCCTTGTTTTCACTTCTCCCCTCCTCCTACAGTATCCTTTTGTCTTGGGACTGATGGTGGCCGTGGCATTTTCAACCTTGGTGTGTCTCAGCCGGCTCTACACTGGAATGCACACAGCGCTGGTAAGGCTCTGTTACCAGAGCTTGCGATGATTGCTTGGCTGATATTATGGTCACTGTGGCAGTGGTTCCTCACGCTACTTACTTAGCGAATCATTTCCATATTTAATTATATTTCTCAATAGGCTGGTGAGTTGTTATTTTATAGTGCATGCAAAATATAGCAATGAATCATGAAGATACTATCAGTGAATCTGAGTTGAGGTAGACCCTCAAAACTTGGAGGAATATTGGTGAACAGTGACCAAGACTCAGTTAAATTCACTTTCGGGCTGGGTTAGGATGATGCAGCAGTTCATGCAGAAAATACACCCAGAATCAAGGATACCTTTGAGTGGACACAGTCCCACCCTTAATTCCTCACAGAGATGGGCCTGAAATTCAGGGGTCTCAGCACCTTTGCAGGTCAGAGTCTTGCAGGTCAGAAGAGCCCAGAATCAGAGGCTGTACCTTACATCCTGTTTTAGGCTGGAGGAAGTTGTGGGCACAGGGAAACACTTCAACATTTAAAAGCCTATCCACCCTTTCTTCACCATATTAGGAGTTTTTTTCCAGGGCTACCACAGTTAACCTAGTTAACATGACTTGAGATTCTATTTCTCAGTGCATCAGCTCGCTGCCTTCAAGTTCCAGACCATAAGGCTGGCCCTGGTTTACCACAAGGCCACCATTTGTCATCATAATGGGAACAACAGATTTCTTTACAAAAAACCAGACCTTTGCTAATTGTGTTTTTCTCAACCATGAAGCTTAAAAATGATGTTAGCAAAAGACTTGCAAGGGAAAAGCCATCCTTCACTGGCTTCCCAGGTTCTTAGTGTTGGTGATCATGACAGGAGTGCAAGCGTGGGAGAGGTCAACAGATTGAGGGAGAGAACTTGTCAAAATGGGCAAAGGCACAGAAGTGGGAGGCAGTAAACCCAGAGAAAGAGGGCTTGAGGCTTCACGAGATTGTATCTGGGAGGAATATGCATCTTCTTCTTGTGAAAGCAAATCCTGACTCACAAGGAAGTAGGGAGGTGCTGATGGTTCTGGAGTCAAGGCTGGGACTAGGGTGAGGCAGTGAGCTGCAACATTTAAGGGGTGCCGGAAGACTGCATCCAAGATAATAGCTTTACTGTGATATTTTAAAAGACCAAAATTAATGCAAAACAAAAAACAAAAAAACGCACGATGAACAAAGTATCAAAGGTTAAAATAAAGGTTTGTGCCCACATTGGCATGCCTTGGCCTCACTTGCCCTACCCTATAACCTCCACCCTAACTGGTGCAGTGTTTGGGTTAAGGAGGGACCCAGGTCTCAGAAATCCTAAAGGAGCAATTATTAGGGAATAGTCTTATTACCCAGCCTCACCACGCATGTCCTCACTGTCCCCCATCCCATTGCACACTGTGTCTGGTGGCTTCTTCTTTGAGGAGACAGGAGAAGAGGATGAGGGTGTTCTCAATTTGCTACACGACTGCTTTGCTTTGCATTATAAAGAGGGTCTCTCCCAATATGTTTATAGACCTTTCTCGGGTGTTTTGGCACTGCTTTTATTCAAGGCTACTTTTTAATTTCTGTTGGTTTGGATAAAAAATGATCTTGAGAACTCAGGCTGAAATGTGAAAGCAAGAATATGGAGCTACAGACAGGAATCGCGAGCATAGAAAAACCACATCAGAAAAAACATGTAGCTACATTTCTTCTTCTCTTTCTTTTTAGTGTAGACTCTGGGATGGGGACAGGTATTTGTGGAAAAGGTAGATTAGACCTCTCATTCAGCCCCACTCTTTGTGGAGTCTTTTCCAGAAGAAACTGGAGCAAGGCTCATGGTAACTGTTCTTCCCCAACCACCGTCCTGCTCCACCCGGGGCCAGGACTTCTTTCATACTCATACTCTGTTTCATACACATCTCAGAGCTTGACCCAGGCCTAGGCTAAGGTCAGGCAACAGGACTGGAGGCATGGCCAGGGTCCGATGGTACATACTTTCTAGTAGCAGAAGGGCAGAACTGGTTTAAACAGTAGGATATAGTTAAATTATGGGTTGGTAAAGTCTTCTTTATTCAGCAGCAACTTAGTGACCCCTCCTTGGGTTTCCAAGGTGGTATCTCTACAAAAGTAGATTGCTCAGTCTTCCTTCCGAGGAGTGGCTGGTGGATTTGAACTGCCAGCCTTTTGGTTAGCAGTCAAATGCCTTAGGCACTCCACCACCAGAGCTCCTATTCTTTATTCAGCAGCAACTTAAAAAGCTCCTGAGGGGACTCTCTGAGACTATCGCCCTGAGATACCCTTTAAACCTTGAACTGAGCCTCTCCCCTGAGATCCCTTTTAGTGAAATAGCAGGGAGCACCCAAAATAAAGGCTATTACCCATAAGATCGGTGCTGTACTTAAGGATCATCTCCATGAGACCAAAAGGTCAGCAGTTACTCAAAGCAAAGATGAGACAGTAAGGGGACAGAGAAACTGTAGAGGACTGGAGATGGAACAAACGGAACACAATTGAAGAGAATGTTGACTCATTGTGATAAATGAAGCTAATGTCATACAACAACTTGTGTGGAAATTGTCAAATGGGGACCTAACTTGCTGTGTAAACTTTCACCAAAAATTTCATAAAGTATTATTTTAAAAACAAACAAACAAACAAAAAACCCCTACAGCATGCCAGTGTTGTTTTTTTGTTTTTTTTTAAAATTTTTATTGTGATTTGGGTGAAAGTTGAGCAAATTCACTTTCCATATAGCAGCTCACATACACTTTATCTCATGACATTGACAGCAATTTCCCACAGTGCAACAGCTCCCCTTCTACTTCCTCCCCATAGTTACCTCTTCCCTGTGTGCTTCCGTTCCATACACTCCTGCCCCCTGAACTGTTTCCCTGTGCATAAACAGCCCTTCTATTCTCTCATGATTGATCTGTCTGAGGAGTATATCTACCTAATGTAAATGTTCACCTCATATGCCTCTCTTTTGTTTGGCTGGAAGCCACAGGAATGGGCTCAATTCCAGACCTGAAGGGAAGCTAGGGGCCATAGTCTCAGGGGTTCCACCAGGCTCTATCAGACCAGTAAACCTAGTCCCCCCCGCCTTTTTTTTAAATGATTTTGAATTTTTTTCCACATTGTTCTCTCACTCTATCCAGGATCTCCTATATAGATTCCCCTCCAAGTGGTTGACAGTGGTAGCCGGGCACCATCTAGTTCTTCTGGTGTCATAGTCGTATAGGCTGAGGATCGCATGGTGGACCAGTCGCTTGGACTAATTATTTCCATGCACCTTTGTTTCTTCATTCTTCTTTGCTCTGGATGAGGAGAGACCCATCGTTGCATCTAGATGCGACATGCCAGTCTTGATGCCAGATCCAGGAGATACTGTGGTGATTAGAACCCTGCCCTACCCTCTTGGCCTATGAAGGAGGCAGATGTGATTATAGTTGTTCCTCAGTATCTGTGGGGGATTGGTTTCTGGAGCCCTTATGGATACTAGAATCCATGCATGCTCAAGTCCCTTACATGAAATGGCAGAGTACTTCCCATCACTCATGCACAGCCTCCTGTATACTTTATTCATCTCTAGAGTCCTTCCAGCTCAGGGGCAGGAGTGTATGGGACGGAAGCACACAGGCAAGGAAGGTTGGGCAATCCCACTTCCGTAGTGATACTGCCTCGGAAACCCAAGGAGGGGTCGCTATGAGTCAGGGCCGACTCGACAGCACATAACAACAACAACAACAACAGAGTCCTTGTATTACCTGTGCCAGTGTAAACCCTCTTAAATAGTACTTAATGCTTCCTTTTAGCCTCTGAGGGATTGTTCTGGCCACTTAATTGCATTTTAGGCACCATTTTTTCCCCTAGAAACAAAGGGTGTACACAACACAAGTTGTGAATGAGCAAGACACAAGGCGAACAGTGCTCAAACACGAACACTAGGGAGAGACCGAGGAGCTGTGAAATGGCAGAGGCCACAGCCTGGTGGACCCACACATCACTGCATTCACGCAGATTCAGCGTAGCACTCAGCACACAGCAAATTCCACTCTTACTTTCTGTGACTTTTTTTTCCAAGTATTTTCAATCTGAGATTGGTTGAATTTGTGGATGCTGAGCCCACAGATATGGAGGGCCAGCTGCACTTTGTATACTGAGTCCTATACTTACCTTGGGAGCTCTGGTGGCGTAATGCCTAAGGCATTTGACTGCTTACCAGAAGAAGGCTGGTGCTTCAAACTCACCAGCCACTCCTCGGAAGGAAGATTGGGCAATCTACTTCTGTAGTGATAGCACCTCAGAACCCAAGAAGGGGTTGCTATGAGTTGGATCTGACTTGATGGCAGTGAGTGTGGTGGTTTGGCTTATACTTACCTTAATGAAAGGTATGGTCAGAGCAAGAAGAAGCACCATCTAATCTGGGAAGGCCTCCCACTTGAACTGACTCTGTGTCAGTCTGGGTGCACGCACACATTTATTTAATGACTTAAGTTGTAAATCCTCACTTTTGAAAGATTTTGAACAATATGACATCAAAAGGAAGAGGTGTCTCCCACCCCAAACCCATTCACCAGAGGTGACCAATGCTGGCAGGTTAGGAGTTAGGGAAGATGGAGTTGAGGTGGGGAGCATCCCATGTAGCTGGAACAGCATATGCAGCAGGAAGAGGAGAGGGAGGCCACAGCTGGTTTTAGGAAGAGGCAGGTCAGTGTGAGGAAGCACACAGCACGTGGCTGGTGCAGCCAGAGTAATAGCCAGAGAACTGGCTGCTGGAGAGTTGATTCAGACTCAGGGCAGCCCGTGTGTTCAGGGCAGAAATGTTCCATAGGCTTTGCCGTGGCTGTGACCCTTCAGAAGCACAGCACCGTCCTGTTTTTGAGGTGCCTCAGGATGGGCTCAAACTGACCACCTTTCAGTTAGTCGGGTGCTTAACTGTTTGTGCCACTCAGGCAGTCCTGGCCAGACTATAGCCAAGGGGCTTTTGATCAGCCTTACTAAGGAATTTAAAGTCTGTTCTGGAGAT